AAGCTCATTATCGAAACTTCATGCGGATTGTATGTCACCTTCATGCATTCTTTTCTATGTTTTTCAAAGATGATCAATTTTAAAAGAATTTCGTCTGACACATTATCAGAGAAAAAAGACGCCCTAACTCCTCCTCTTTCAATTGGTGAAAACCGCAGGTCTCTAGCTGTTTGCTTTCTCGAGTTATTCAAAAAACAGTCACACGCATGGACTTTTTGGACGGACATTAGCTTAAAGTGATCGTACGTTTTTCACAAGCAAACGAGTTAGCTATATTTTGAAATTTTTATGTTATGATCGCTATTTTATACATGAATGCTTGCTTAATAAGTACTGAAATAGCGCATATGAAACTATATATTGGCAGTACATTTGAAAAGAAAAATTAATATTGATGAAGAATAACATTTGAGAGAAGTCAAAGTCGCAAGACGACTGACTAACTTGTCACAGTACTGAAAGTGTACTCGTATATACCTATAACGCTAGACATGAAATCAGATACATCTACAAATAAAGCACGGAAAGTATATCTCTATCTCATGCCATCTACACATAAGGATATATGGATAATAATACAATTATTAAAGTATGGGTATGAGAGTAAAAATAGAGTCATGAAAATATACTTCCGAGAAATTCAGTACAGTAATTAGAGTTTAGGAATACATAGATAAAGAATTAGACGTAATTATTAGGAGTTAGGTATAGATATAAGAATTTTAGTATAGAAATAAGAGCTTAAGTATGTAAGGAAGGATTAACACAGAGTGATAAAGATATTTGAGTATATTATAAAAAAATAAGTGTAGAATAATAAACTCTTACTAGGCGTTTCTTACTATTTCATAAATCATTTTTTAAGTTCATGAACTTTGGTAAGACTTTGTCATTTGTTGCAAATTCATTTATCCTTGTATTGTTTCCAAAAATTCTTCTTTGGTATATGAAAGAGATCAACCCTTAAGTGAAGAGTTTATCGGTAGATGTTTTTCGAAAAGAATCGTAGACTAATAAGTCTTTCCTAAGGATTTGTTCCGTTTATATAACTGAAAACAATTTATGAACACAGAAAACGATACAAGGACATATGAATCTGCAACAGGTCACTAACCTTTGTCAAAATTTATGAACCTAAAGATTTTATATAATAATTATCAAGAGACTGAAAGGGTTTGTTATTCTGAACTTTTTTTTACAATGTAACTATGTATAATAGTTAAACATGAGATTCTAATATTAGAGCAAAAATTGACCTTTGATTCGAATGCTCCATGTAAGATTACACGTTGTTAAAGCTTTCAAAGAATAATAAAAGCTATCATTGTATTTGGTAGAGCCCATTCTGTTTTCTGATTAATTTATACCAACGGAAGAACGAACACGTTTAAAGATATTTTCAAGGATATAATCCATTCTTTCAGAAAAAGGAAAATCGCTAATTTTTTCAAAAAGATTTTCTTCGGTGAAAAATCAAATTTAAAGTTCCCAAAAACTATCTAGACAGCGGATTCCTCGACTTCGACAATCTTTCATTAAATTTTAAGAACAAGCGTGAGTTTTTTCAAATACCTATTCTCTGATGAAATAGTCAACGCCAGGAAGTTTTTGTTATCTTGTTACTTGGTAACTGTAAACAGTTTCTTCACTAGTTATCTAAGAAAGTATCAGTAGATTTCTTTTCTTAGATATCTTGAAAAAAGATTGAAGAAGCAGCTCGAAAAAACTTTTGAAAAGTTATTATCGAATATCTCTAACTGTTTCTAATCAGCACATCAAAAATTACACATGTCTTATTAACCTTGGTTCGGTCTCTTTGCACAGTTTAAATCCAATCAGATATCATCGTGAATAACTCATCAGATCGGCACTTTACCAGAATGTTCTTCATCTGTACAAGACACATAGCACGATATGTGTCTACTACTTGATTTACAATTAAATGCATCTTCAATGACTTTTGGTCTGCATTCTAATAGACTTGTGCAGAAAACATAGATACTTGATTGAATTGGAAATCCTTTTCTGAAAGCAGAAAGAATAGAAATAAATTTGAAAGGTATTGATCTGTGCAAAGGTTGCTCTCAGATGTAAGACGCTACTACTAACAATGAGCATAATACATTAATCAAGTCCGATATTCTCTATATGAAGATGAGCAGCAAACTTTTTCTCACCACTAAAGTCTTACTCAAACAATAATCTATCTACTTATTTGAAATTAAGTTCAATCTCTAAGTAAGTCCTAAAGACTGATCTGCACATAGCTAAGAACAAGCTAATTTCGGAGTAGACATCTTTTCGTTAACTACAATAATTCTTATTCGAGAACGATGCCAAAATGTAACAGAACCTTAGTGCTGTTATGATAGGACTCAGTTTTATTTTGAGTTGTTTCACGATCTATCTTGTGGATAGATGTTTTAAAATTATTCTTTATTGCGACTAAACATGGTTGTGCTTTGTCAGTGAAAAATGTAGTAGTTAGTCGTTTGTCACCACTTCAGGATTCTTGTAATGAAGCTTTTCTTAGTTTCATTAGAGTAAAATTTGTATTCATGAATTGGTCTAAGTAGATTTAAAAAGAATGCTCACATAATTTACATAGAAAAAAAATTATTCTAGGAAAGACTTCAGATGCTGCTGTTAAAGCTAAAATCGACATGCATCTTTGTAATGTGCCAGATTCTTATATTTACTATTATATTCTCAAATAATTACTTCTGCAAGACATCACCGGAACAGGAAACGCTTAAAAACGATAGCGCATCACCCTTAGCCTATATAATTACAGTTCCTGGTTATGATCAACGAGTACCGATTGTTGTAGCCACCTTTAAGAAATATGCTGGCATAGATCTTCGGCGTTTCAATGGCACTCTATTTTCTAATGAATCTCGAACAAACGGCAAATTCCTGTCACCTGGAGAAAATGGTCTACGAGCGACAATGGCAAAGTTCTTCGAGATGATGGTTCGCGATAATCCCGAGCAAGTACTCGTCTTTGAGGATGATGCAATTCCGCATCTTAATTTTAAAGTATTGTTCAAAGAATTACCTTCTCGTTGTCTTGAAGCTGATTTACTGCTGTTAGGAGCCGGTATATGGCATTCTAAACATACGCAGTGGCCCAGTGGAGCGTGCTTCGATGCTGATGACGCAACATTTGGTGCTTATGCTCTCTTGATCAAGAGAGTGTGCTATGGCCCTATTCTCAGCTGGTTACAACGTGAAACACCACGACCTTATGATCATGTTTATCGGTACTTGCAAAGACTGAAACTCTCCGTTCGGGTGGCATTTCCTCCTTTTCTAGTAATTCCAGATGTCACGCATGTATCCTTAGTCCAAAATAATCGAACTAATATTCAATACAACATAGAAAAACTGTCGGAACTCCATCGTTGGCATTTAAAAGATTATCCAATGGTTCGAATACCAGTTCATACTGAGGGGTCAGTAAATCGAAGCTCAGACCTTCCTAGAAGAAAGTAACTAGACATATGTACGATTATTTCAATAAAGAAATGAAACTCGGGCCTGCCGCTGCTGACAAAGGATTTAAATACAGCATGCCTTGCTCACACTTACTAAATTATCAATTAAAATCTTTTTGTTTCTTTCAATTGCATTTATGATTGTGACTTCTTCGATTTGATACTCGATATAGTGCATCATAGTACTTGCATGTGCTAGACGAAGAAAATAGAGATAACTCTTGTCAAACATCCTCGAATGAAATAGTTTTTCTTCAAAATAAAGACATTAATTTAGTGGGCATCCTGCAACAGTCTTCGTATACGTACGGAAGATTTGCAAGAAGATGCAAGCGCGGGTACGGTCTTGTTCCCTCTACTGAAAGGAGGGTCATACACCGAATTAGGTTCGTATGTTCGTAACTTCGTAACTTTGTTCGTTCGTTCGCACAGAACGAAAAAATGTTTTTTTGACCTATCACATCATCGATCTTCGAAGAAAACTTAACCTCAGCCATTGGATTAGTCTACAGTCCCTAACCCATCGACCAATCAAATATTCGCTTCGTCTGCATTTCAGCCAATCAGATTTCGAGAGTTCGAATTTGGACCAATCATAGGTTTTCACAGTCTGGCTATCCGCCAATCACATTTCGAGAGTGGGCATTTGGATGAATCATAGGTTTTCGCGGTCTGCCTATGCGCCAATCAGATTTCTAGAGTGGCCATTTGGACCAATCATAGGTTTTCAGGTTGGTGCGGGTGTGCGTATGAGGGTGTTGGTGTGGATTTGGAATTAAATTAAATGTATTTATATGCACACCAACGCCTATGCGCACACCCCACACCCATACCACCGCACCCCACAACACGCACACCCGCACTCGCACCCACACCCACACCAACACACGCTGTATGTGTGTCAAATTGAAAGTTTATGTTTGAGTATGGTTGGAAAACTTATTAGGCCAGTATTCCTCTGTAGATTCTGAAAATTTTAGTGGTGTCTGACAGCTAATGTTATTGTACTAGCTGTTTCTGGAAGTTTATTCAGTGAAATGAGGGTCGCTCCGTTGCGTTTGGATCTCGATCTGGTTTCTGGGTTTGTTACGATGGGGTCACTCCAAAGTGCAGTTGCGAGTGTTAGCGCCGATGTTTGTAAGAAAATTTCGTTGACATTACTGTTCTTCTCTGAAAACCTTACTGAGGAAAATTGTCTTATATGACGTGTGTCGTATCTAGCTTCTGCTTTAGTGTAGAGCTATCATATACTGCTTGGGATGCTGGTGGAATGCACCAGTGATAATGACTTTTGATCGATACAGTTCGTTAAGATGCTTTAAATTCTTTTCATTCGCTTTTTATCTTTATAGCTTTTATTTGAAAGAGAAATTGGTACAAGCTTTGCAAATGATCTATGGACTAGAAAAGTGAAATGAACAGATTTCGAGCATGCAATATAGAGTTTTTTTACGAGTTAGATTGTTTTTCTGAAGATCACGGCACTGTTAAAATGTTATTGTTTTAAACAATGAATTGAAAGCGTTTCCGAGTATTTTGTGCTATTTTATCTAATCGTTTAAGTTCTGCTATTTGGGGCGTTGATGGTTTAACTTGCAGTGTTGCAAATTCAAATGGACGTATGAAAAGTAAATCATCAAGTCTCTTTACACGAGATAATGGAACATAAACCGATGCAACTTCAAGTGGGCCAGGAGGCATGACCAGATCGACGATAATCTTACCGAGTGTTTGTCCTTGGCTTTTATGTGTTGTCATGCTGTATGCGGGTATAAGCGGAAATGCTTTACGTTTGATCGTGAGTTTTGTTGTTTTCTTGTTTATTTTGGCCGCTTTTGCTACATTTTCTGAAAGAAGTTCCTTGGCATCAAACAAGAATGTTTGTTCACTAATAGATATAGGAACCATCTTGGATTGCAGTTCAGGAAGTTCGTTATAAAGTTTGCAACCAGGAAATTCTACTAAAGCGTACTTTAGTTGCGTTATAAACTTGGTATTTAATGGAAAATTCTTATCTTAGTATCGAACATCTTCTGGTGATTCATCGTATACAAGTTGACGAAAGATTCCTCGTGTACCGTTAGACAGTCCGAGCTCAGTAGCAACGTTTTCTGTGAGTAAAACTGGCATTTCTGGTACGAGAGGTAAATAGCCTGGAAGATGTTCTGTTTTATTATCAGGTAATTCAAGTATCGCTTGACGTAATCGTAAATCATCCACAGTTTTTCCTTGAATATAATCTTGAGCAATACATACAATTGGGCTAAGTCCCGTTTCCATTGTTTTGTTTAAGACAGCCCTATTGCTAATTTGAGTGCGTAGCGTATTCCGAAAAACCAGTATTGGAGCCTATTAAAAGAAAAGTAATGTGATACACAGAGAAAATGAGTGTGCATACTTCGTTCCATGGCTTTTGTTGTAGAGATACTTGAAGTTTTGGATTTCCTATGACTCTCGTACACAGAAGTTGGTAATCTTCTATTGACGATTGTCCATTTCTTAATCTATTTAAAAGGTCCAAATATCTTATGTCTTCGGTTCGCGTTTGCTGAGTTAATTCAACGACGCAGTTTATTTCAGACATAAGCTTCTGTGCACATAACATATCTATCTGACGTTCTGTAACTTGCTGTGTCGATGCGCAGCTACAATAGAGAGGCTTGGCCAAAACAGGAGAATATTGAAGGTAGTCGCCGAAGAAAATGACATTGATACCACCAAAAGGTATCTCAGAATTTATGTGCTTGGCTGTTTTCACTATTCGATTGAGACGAGCTAATAGGCTAAGTTCTACCATACTCATCTCATCGATTATCAGGTACTTCACATGACGCCATTCATTTTCCAATTTCGTATCGCCAGGTGTAAATGTACGGGTATTTTTCTTTTTAGTGCTTTTGCGACTTTCACCTAAAAATGAATGGATAGTTAATCCGTCAATCTCAGCTGCTGCTATAGACGTTGGCGCCAGTTTACGCAACATCTTGCCCCTCTTGGTTACTTGGAAATACTTGGTAATTGCACGAATTAACTGAGATTTTCCAGTACCACCGCAACCAGGTATGCACATTAATAACTGATTATCGATAGTACCTAAATATCAAGACTATTCAAAATTTTCAATAACAAAATCAAGAAAATATACGGGTATAAGCATGATTTTCGCCATCTAAGTGACTAGTTATAATGATGAAAGCATATTTTTGCTGAGTATTTAGTGTAAATTGTTTGACGATATCCTGTTTTGTGGGAAATAAAACTAAATTGGTTGCAGTTACAGGTAGGACTCTCGTAGCTTTCGTTTTGATTGGGCTTTTTGGAATTTCAGCACCTACGACTTCAATCTGTGTTTCATCATCTCGTACTTCCAGAGTATCTTCACCTGAAATTAAATAGTTCCTTGTTTCGTCTCGTCGGGCTTCAATATCACGTTTCCACTCTTTAATCATGGTCTTATGATGCTTGCGAGCTACGACAAATGTGTGGACATCGTGTATGATACCATAATTATTTTCGCCCGGACAACGTGTACGGCCTAAATCAAACTAAATATTTTCGAAATATGGCAGTAATTAACTCACCATTGAGTAGTGCAAATCTGTCTGTATTATCAATTGCTTCTAATGCATCATGAACATAGCGTTGTTCTTGAGTAACTGTCAATACAGAGTAAGCGTTTGTGGTGGTCTCATTTACGATGGAGAACATTTGCAAAAGTTGTTCCGGATCATCTTCGTCTGCATTTTCATCACCTTCGTAGTAGTTAGGCATCAAAATAGGGTCAATGTTGTTTTCATTTTGGGCTTCTAAAAGAACTTGATGAAGGTGCTCATCTCGATCGTGTTTGCATTCGTGCAAAAGTTCTATATTTTCTATAATCTTAAGCGAGTTGGAAGAGATCAATAATCTTCGAGCTTCCAATGCTTCTGACCATGTCTCATTCAGTGCACAAAGGTCCTCAATTGATCGCCATGGAACGAATAATGTTAACAATGCGCGACAATAGCGTTCATGTGTTTCTTCTCGTTCGCGGCGCGGTATTTGAGGACCTAGAAGAATCGGTACTACTGGAATGGAACGTTTAATTATGAGATAGGATATTGATTGCGAATGTGCACTGTCAAATGTATGACGTTCATTCATTTTCGTTCCTTCTGTAGCTAATTGTTGACCTTGAGAATTGGTTACATTCTTTAGTAAACGACGATCCGATTTGTCGATAACTTTCTTATGAAAATGGCTGACGAAATCATATAAACACACTGCACTACGATCCTTTGATCGATGCTGATAATCAAGACGAGTATTGACCAAGACATACTGATCGCCGTTGTTGGTTTTTGTGGGTTCTAATAAAAATTGTTCTTCAATTTCGTTTTTATCTTCTCCTTGTTCATCGTAGAAAGGCGTTGAAGTCTCTAGAAAACAACATGTTAAAAATTTATACAATTATTTTAAAAAGTTCTACCATCTATTCTCTCTTCAACAATTTCTTTTTCGTTAATTCGTACTTTATTTAGTTCCGTTTGTAGATAGTTTTCGATTGAAATGAGAAAAAGATTTTTGAACGTATGTGTAGTGTAGTGGTCACCATAGTTCATTAGATATGACGCAACTTGAACACCTGAAACTTCTTGTTGTGAAGCAATCATATTGAAGCAGCGTAACACTAGTTTACGCGATTTGTCAACAATATTATCTGTGCTATTAGAAATTCGTTCGTGCTCGATAGATTTGATGCCTTGTTGTGCCAGCGCAAACATATCATAGAAGGCCAGAGTAGACTTTGTTACATAATCAGTTATATAGTAAACTAATGCTTTAGGGTCGTTACCACTCCAAATGAACTTCATGTCCCTGTTCGATCGACACACACTTAAGAGCCATTCATTGAAGTTATTGATCCACGAGTGCGATCGACGCATGGTTATCTGACCTGTTGTAAGGTCAATATTAGAAACATTCACTAGTGCGCGTGGCATACCAATTCGACACCTTTTTGAACTATCATTTTTACCTTTAGAATATTTATAGCAAGTTGCAGAATGCTTGTGAATATTGCAGATTTCGACCAATTGAACTACATCTTTGCCAAACGTTTGATCAAAGACTTCCAACGCAGGATTTGGTGTTGAGAGACATGCTGGTATAACTTCACTTGCTATTGGCTCAGTTTCTCCTAAAATGAAGCGAAACTCATCATTAAAGATTCTTAAAAGCTTCAGAGCTCACCATTTAATGTTCTTCTGTCACTGGTTGTACTTGTTCCGTCGTTGGTTTCATCTTAAAAAAGAATACTGATATTTAAAAGTACAAAACTTAGAAGTCTCAAATATGTAGTAAGAGTAGGTGATTGGAATGAAATATATTTTGGATTAATGAAAATTTTGAAAATGTTCTGAAACCTAAATTCAAGGCAAGGCAGTGATACACTATCAGTGTGTAAAACAGTATCAAGTAGGCAAATATAAAAACTTCAAATCACAAATTCAAACAATGTTAAATATATTACCTCGAAACAAACCTAAATCTTCTTTTATAATATCTTCTAAATATTTTAGTAAATTTTCACGAAAATCTTGATTTTGTATATTTTCTTTCAACTGTGCTGGAGTATATTCATGATTGAGCCAAATCAAGAGATGTAAATGGAGCGATCCTCTTCCTTGACTCTCTACAGTGCCGAAATACGCTTTTGTAGGACCGAGCACACCACCGACCACTAGGCTTTTCAGAACGTTTTTTATTAAACAGTTGAAGAACTTTGCAGTTTCAACAGGGTGCGTCGCGACAATTTGAGCACGCTCATAACTTGTACGCAGGACTTCTGACAGAACGTGATCAAGATCAAGATCGATACCTCCAAAGTAAGGTGCCACTGGACTATGGATATCAGCCGGATTGATTGTGAGGAAAAGACTAGGAAGACCAAGATAAAAACACAAAGAATGAATTTTCGTCCGAAGAGCTGATCGTGAATGAGCTGAGCCCATGACATGACCACCAATAATTTTGATATGCTTCATCAACGTATTTATTCTCTTGTCAGTAACTTTTGAATAAGGCGCTTTTGAGATATTAATAAGAGCTGCTGTTACATCTTCAGAGCTCAATGAGTTAAGAACTAGTGCAAATTGTTGAAACCACGGTCTTTTTGTCACTAATTGGGCATGAAAACATTCTGTTTGACGTTGTAAAATATTGAAGACAACAAATATGAATGAGTAGTGTTCTTCAAAACGGCGATTTTTTTACGAAAGAAGATATCTGAGGTGCTTACGAAAATTGATTTGGACTGGTCGAGAGCAATCTTCAAATGCACCACCTCCATACGGAAAAAAAAGTAGGAAAGATACCAAAAAAAGATTTGGATTAGAATACTCATTGATCGGTTTATTATCACAAGCAATTATGCACACGGTTTCTTGTACAGCGTTTTCCTCGATGTCTTTTTTCAACGTTTTATCATCCATTTGCACATTCATTCATTCATTTTGAAAGATGTTCAGCAACGTCATGAGATGAAATTTTCATACCGTTAACATCTAAGATAGCACTACAACACAAACAATGGTAGATAAAAATATCAATGCCTTGTTACTATACCTCACACTTATCGGTATAAGTATTGTGGTGTTAGGCTCAGATGTATTGATCGGAGGGTTAAAAATATAAGTTGCCCTTCCATTTTCAACTGCTTCTACCTCAGTGGAAATTCCCATTGTTACCCAGGAGTACTCTGGGACATCGTCCTCAAGTAACTTATTGATTGTTGATTGATTCATTATAACATATCGATGGAGTAGATTGTTTGGACTAAGTTATTGAACTCCATCAGAAACCTTTGTCTTTCGAACTGTCAAAATATCTATTAGTTGACTTCTTTATGGAATCTGACAACCAACAAA